CTAATGCTAACATTGCTTTCAATTGTTCACATATTGTAGAATTAAAGTAACATTTTTATTGTATTACATGTACAACAAACATCTCCACCGACACACAAATAAACAGAGACAATGGATGATGTTGTGTTGTACATTTGTGTGGCTGCTTAACAAGTCTATTTGATTAACATCACTTGCGCAAACCATCGTAAATCTCACATAAATTTCAAATAACCAAGCATCAACAGCAATCTTCTGACTGTACCGACAGTGAAGAGAAGTAATATCTGTGTCTGTGTTTCTGTTCTCTCAGAGGAAGCTGCTGATGCTTGTTTGCCAGATATCCCGGGCAACAAAAGAGCATCAGGAAAAAAAATCTGTGTGGTGTGGGAGAGAGTAAACAAGAGGAAGAGAGATCAAGACCGTAAAGTGTGATCACAACACCACAGCTTGGATCAGGACTTCCTGAGGATCTGTTGTGGCCCTATGGTCTACCTGGCTCACACGGCCCACGCCCAGCTCAGCGCCCTCTGGCTGAGCTGCGTGGGCTGGACTCTCACGACCGTGGCGCTCGGACTCATCCAGTGGAGGATTTGGCAGGTGTCTGACCAGGAAGTCATCAGCTCCGGTGTGGCCTGGGTGGGCATCTGGAGGGCCTGCTTCAACAGCCACAACGTGGTGTCGCCCAGCTTCAGGATCATGCACTGCAGGTACATCAGCCTGACCGAGGCCTACACACCACCGGAGATTGTGGCAGGTCAGGTTCTCATGGTCCTGTCTCTGCTGGTGGGGCTTTGTGCGAACACTGGTGGTGTTTATGCCCTGAGGAATGTCTACTTTGGGATGGAGAAGGACACGCCATTGCGCTTATCCTTCTTCACCACTGGAGCTCTGTGCTTGTTGGCTGCTGTGATGTCTCTCATACCTCTGGTGTGGAATCTGATCTCAGTGGCGACCAATAAGACCATCGCGTTCCCCCCTGAGTTCAAAATGCCCCAGGCGCCGCATTCGCAGTATGCGGGGTCTGGCATAGGGGTCGGGATGGTGGGAACAATCCTGATGATTGTCTCTGGGATTATTTTCTGTATGTACAAAATACCAGCGAGGCCTCAGCACGTGATCCAGCCATCTCATAAAGAACAGGCGCACGTGGACAGGTCATCACATGCAAAACCTGTGTCTGACAGTCGGGGGGGGGGAAACAATCCGGTGTTTGAGTCTCACGAACACTTGTGATCAGTCAGTGAGAAGGTGAGACCTCAGAGGAAACATATATTGAGATATTCTAATTCCAACGGACACACAGCTTTTCTTGCACCATAAACCGAGTTTTCTTGCACCTCCTGGATTCCAGTGACTCATCTGCTTTAATGGCCCACAGGAAGATGTTATTGAATGATTCATTTGTTTGGATGTGTAAAACATCAACTGAAATACCAGCCAGGAAAAGACCATCATCATGGAGGAGGATCCTCTTACAATATTAGTCTTTTGCTGCAGTTATATGTTTTCTAAGCTGCATTGATGTATTAAATATTATGGACAGTAAAGTCTGTGAGGGATGTGTGTCAGATTTAATGGAGCTTTAAAATCAAGCTGTATGGTTTGTTATCTGACACTTACACATCAAATGCACATTGGAACTCAGGCAGTAATTAAATCTTTTATTGTGTCTGTCGGCCACTTCCTGCTCAGATGACGAAGCATTTTGCAGCAAGTTAAACTTTTTTTACTGTATTGATTTTGTTCCATATTTGTACTCAAATAAATTATAATGTATTTAATGTTAAGTGAGTTTCATTATCTTTGGGCCTCTGAAAACAAAACAAAGTAATATAAAACTTCCATAAATGATTTTTATGTTTCGGGTGTGTCTACAATGTTTTGAGCTTTGACCCTGTCGCTATGAAGTCACCCATCATGAATTGCTTGTGTTGGTCCGTCAGTGAAGCACTTTGTTTTTTATTTTAATTACAGATTCTGAACTGACCATAATTGAGGAAACATGCTGATATTCTCTTGAGGCTTTCCCAAGACGACGACTATAACTTGAGGTACAGCAGGAATTCAGAATATTGTATAATGATAAAATATAGAACACACTGCAGTTTTTTCTTTAAATATTTTATTCAAAAAACGCAAAAAGCTCATCTCCAGAATTTCAAACCATCTGTATCAATGTTCCTCTAATGATGAACAGTCCCTTCACCTCACTGAGATCAGTGTTATGGCTCAGATCACAGCCCACCCTTACTTAAGAAGGGTTTGGGTGGGGTCTGCTTCACCTGAGCTGCTCACTGATGCACAAAGTACGGGTAAGAAAGGTCCGTCAGGCTGCGAAAAATCCAATTGAGGCAATGTTTTACTAAAAGACAGGTATTCTTTCTGGCACACCTCTGGGAGATTAAGGCCAGGGAAGGAAGTTGAGCATCTCCATCTTGCAACTATCTTTGTTTCCCATTGACCTTCTGGCTAATTTCAGCTGACATAAGTTTTGGACTGCTGATGATCTTAACCCTCTTGAGGAACTTCATACAGTACAAAGATTTCAGAGTTTCATTCCAAAAAGAGAAAGAAAAGCTTTAAAAACAAACGCCAACACTGCAATTCAACATGTCGCTGCCCTCGTAGATCACTTGTGTGAATATTTGAAAGATTTTCTTCTTGCACAAACTGCTGGAGGACACAATCGTCCGAGTTTAAAACACTGTGAATGTCAGAGAGCAAGATATATCCAGAACAGGTATATATTTCAATATAACAGCACAGAATGAAACCCTCCAATATAAATAAAAAGACGACACTGGAGATACATGTGGCATGTCATTCAAACACATTAATACTGAATACAACATATACAAGTAAAGCACAGTTGTTGTTTAAAAAAATTGTCAAATCTCAAATATTATGTCAGCTCAATAATTATAATTTTACAATTTCACTATGGTGCAGTTCTTCATACATGACAGACAGAGGCTGTAAATGCAAATTATTCAGATCACCAGGAACAATGTCAACAAACTGTGGATTTGAGTCCAGCTGTTTATGAGCAAACCCTCAGTCTGCTAAATGCCCTGAATGTAAATCCAGACGGCGTTTGGAATGCACTCCTTTTGTACAAATAACTGCATCTTTAATATCTAACTGGGTGAGTCAAATTCCTCTGTCATATTTCCTTTAGCAAACATCCGGAGTACAAGCAAAACTTTTTATCTTTCTAACTTCTGTACAAATGAAATGCAACATGATGCCAGATTTTAAACCATAAGTAGCCAAAAAAAGACCTAAAGAAATTGTAATTCAGAAATTGCATTTGTGACGATGTCTGCTCAGTGTCCACAACTTGTTTCAGTTCCCTCAAACAGCAAGGTCCATTTATTTTCACGTGGCTTTGATAGTCTAATGTTTGGAACATGATCACCAAGGTTCAGAGATATGCTCTTGCAACTTCAAGCAAATATATCTAAGATATACTCTCGCAACTTTAACTTAACAATCTGTAGTTCTGCTGAAGAGACAATTGGAACAGTGTACAACAACTTCTCCAAATCTGGCTGATAAACAACAGAGCGTTTTGAGACCCAGAGCGAAACAGTTTGGCTTCTGATCCAAGGAGTTTTCTGATTTTTTAAATTCTGAGCAAACATGTTCACAGTCACTTTATTTCCTTAAAGTTAAAGCAAAGCTGAAGTGCACTTGCTGTGTAGTATCACATGACAATAACACTACTCCTTTTACAACTGTATGAAGATCATTTTTTGGTGAACTGTTCCTTTAAAGTGGGCTGGTCCTTGATAGTATTATTTGCTTCTGCTTACACCCCAAAAAATACAGGATTATGGAAAAAAATAAACACACAACAAACAAGATACTATGCTACTGAATGCTATTGCTCGGGTCAACAACATGAGCATCCCTGCACTTCAGAATAAGAGACCCGTTGTCCTTTTCCTCGTCCGCTTACCTCAGTTCATGCACCTCCCTGTCACACATGGAAGCCCTGATAAGAGTTTTGATCCAGATGGTTTGAAACTGAACAAAAATACGTACATACATACAAAATAAAATACAAAATAAGAAAAAGAAAAAAAAGATTTTGAAATGCAGGGGGTTTAATCATTCCAAAGTCCACCGGTCTGTTCTTGATAAACCTCGATGACATCCTCGTCCTCCATCCCCAGCTGACAAGAAGGAACGGCAGAGGAGAGACATTTTTAGTAACAGAATCAACAACACATGATTTAGATGTTCACGCTCTTCTTCAAAGTAAATTCTTCTTAGTTAGTTCTTCTGTATTCATTTTCCCAATGTCACAAACCATTTATTAATAATTTCCCATCAAATTAAAGCAGAACAGTTTCAGAAATTTTGTTAAGTGTCCAATCTTTGGTAAAAACAAGACCAGCTTGTAGCAGTGACAATACCAGCCAACTTAATATTCAGACAATAAATTATTATTATTTATTTTAAACATATTTTTGTTTTTTTGCCCGCTGATTTACTCCTGCTGCCTGTGTGTCGATACTGTATATATGTGTATATTTTACTCGTTGAAATATACTTGACTCAAAGATAAACAGTTGTCAAGAGAGACAAGTTTTACCTCTTTCGGAGTTTGGTTATCTGCGATTCTCTGTCCTTCAAACAGAAACCGTAGCGTGCTTGCTGGAACGCCCTGAAAGACACACAACGTGCATGTTTTTAAAAAGTGATATATAATTCCATGCTTTTCTGACATGTTTGTGACACAAAAATCGGACTTTTATCATTCGGTAGCAGGCACCGATTTCCCTCTTCCCTCGTACCTGTCTCTGGCTGTAAGACTCCTTCAGCTTTTTTAAATGTGTTGTCATTTTCACCTTAAAGTGTATTTCACTGCTGTCCTGTGGGCGGCGAGAGAAAAATGATGATCAGAAGTGGCGGAAAGGTCAGCATGAAGAAACAAGGCAAAAGCTTTTTGTTTACAACTAATACATATGGGTACTGTGAGAAAGAAGGAAGCAAGGAAGAAGAAAGATATGTGCTTAACATAGAAAACATATAGAAACACATTAAAATATGATCTTTATCTATTTCTGTGGCATGGGTGTCTGCAACACTGTTTATTTATTGATGATTGAACAACAAATAGATAATTGTTAGTAATTTTCATCGGCTTTGACATTTCTTATTGATGCACCTCTGGAGTTTTAATCCACAAGTAAGCATTTATCCCATGTAATACTTTAGTACTACAAACACATGTTATAATTACATTGTATAAGCCTTGTAAACACAGTAACCACAGCTGACACGTATCACAAAAGCAAACATATGCTCTGGAACATGAATCATTAAAAATGATTTGTTGATAGAGGGACTCTGCATCAACAGCAAATGTCCAATGCTACACATCACTATGCTAAGCTCGATGAGTCCCATCCACCCTCCCTGCACTGTTACCCACCTGACCGATCACTTTTAATTTGATGTACTCTCCGTCCTTCTTGTCCCCACCGTCTTGGCTGGATGGTTTTGTCTCCTGGAAAGAAACAACAACAAATAAAACATGAAGCATTAAAACGCCACACGCACGTTTCAGACAGACCCGCAGACTGATTTTATCCGACTGCACCGACACTGAGACTCGTGCATGTTCACATTTCGGGTTTCAAAATGTGAGCGAGGCTTGTTGTGTCGAGGCAGAACTTTGGACACGAGCTGAAGCCCATGCTAGCATGTCAGCTGAGCACTGGGCCTGAAGCTACACGAGCTAACGGCTAACACGTTAGAAAAACACACAGGAGGCAGCAGCCGCAAAATCACGATAGGTCTATTTCTTACATTTCACACGGACGTCAAATAATAAAATACTCTTCAAAGTTTTCGTCTCACCGAGTCTGACATGTTCTTCCTGCTTGTGTTAGCCTCTGTGTGTTGTTACAACTGCGTTCACGTTAGCTTCCAGCCGCGGCTTTAGCCCGATGTTGTGAGGAGGCGACAGCGACCGGCAGTGACGCCAAGCAAGGATTCTTTCAGAATAAGAGTTTATTGATAAGAAAGTTGTATCTGCAACAACATTAAATCGCATAATTATAAAAAAAATTAAGCAGTCAATTAATCTCGTATAAAGGCGAATGTATACTCCTTAGTAAATAGTGGTTCATGTGGTTTGATGTAGCGTTTTCATACTGCATACTTGTCCTTACAAAGAAGGTGATCAATATTAAGAGCACAATCCAATTAGGTGGTGGACATATCACTACTTCATAAAAGTGCACAAAATAAGACTTAAATATCCATTAGTGCATTTTGGAATCATTTAAAAGAATACATTTATTAGATTAGCGACTATATGTTTAATTACTTTATGCTTGAATTTAGTGTGTCTGTGTTAAATAAGCATTCAGTCAGTATTAGTGAAATCAGATCGCGTTCATTTTATGATTAAAGGTTATAGTTGTGGACCAGATGATTAAAAGACCCGTCAAACACGTTTACCTGGCAGGATTTGACGAGTGATGCAGGAAACTAATACATTTTATTCACATCAGAAGTTGTGTTTTGTGTTGGACTCCTCCACAGAGGCTGTCAAGCGTGCCAAACTGAAATCAATCATTTCCGGTTGATGACTTTCAACGTAAAATCCACAAGCCTACATCGGGGGGGAAAAACACGATAAAAGAGATATCCTGCTTTTATTTTGTCAGCAAAAAATGAAAATCTCCCGGTAGGCTCTAGTGGATCCTTCGCGAACTTGATGTGTTTGTGGGGGAAACAGCGAGCGGAGCTACCGTGGAGCAGCGTGTGGAGTAAAACTAAATGGAAGCTGCGCGTTAACTTTGCCCTCTCATCGCGGCGCAGACACGGGGAGGGTTGCTTCGGAAACGCTGTCATCTTGTCCGTTCTGCTGCCGGAAGAGATCCACCGGGGTTCAGCCTGACAGCCGCCGGGCCTCGTCGCCGCGGCCCAGCAGGACTCAAGTGAAGTTGTGAGCGGACTGACAAACTTCTGCTTCCTCCAGCGACCTCTCCCCGCAGGGCCCGGGGCTCCCGTCACCGGCCCTGTGGGTGAGGGAGTGAGCACGGATCGCATCGCGCCTAGGTGAGGCGACACACCGGCCGGTTCACACTGGACATGTGTCCGTTTGATTCTCGCTTTCTGCGCGGCCGTGCACTGCGAGAGAGAGAGAGAGCTCCGAATTAGCAATAGCTTAGCTTGTCAACTTCCCTGGCCCTGACAGCTAGCTGTGTACGGAACTATCGACTAGCCACCTAGCTTCCTCTCTCAGCTATATCCCTGCAGCTGACTGTGTTTGGGTTATTTTCGAATGTGCAAAATCATCTAGTACGATCATTTTATCGTGACACGCAAGACTGAATTCGCTAACAACAGTTGTTAAGTCAGTTGTAGCTTCCAAGGCTGCTCAGCTAACGCTAGCAAGTTCATTTAAAGCGAATTATTTACCAAAGGAGGCCATAACAGTGGCAGTGTTGTTGGTGTCAACTTTGCAGTGATCGGCTCAAAACAGTGTTTTGCAGCGGATGCATCATTGGCTGCACGACTGAGAAGTGCTAAGCTAATGTTGATGTTGCAGCCTGCTCTCACCAGCGTGGTGGAATAGTCAGATTTGACGTCAGTTGCAGACATTGATCGATCAGCAATATCCAATCATCTCCTCATCAGCAGAGGCCATCTTGACTGTCCAGACTTTAGTATCCAGACACACAGCACCGTCTGTAGTGTTGAACGTTATCTGCACGACCTCACAGCAACAACTAACATTTAACAATGACAGCTAGTGGTGAGGATTGTGCAGAAGAATTGCTAGGGGGTATATTTATGCCCAATTCTTACGATTTCCCATGCAATGTTATGCTAATGGATGCAACTAATGATTATTGAATCATCATATAATGTAGTTTAATAAAGCATTATCAGCCCCACTCTACCTCAGAGGAAGTTATTGTACTGTTTACTCCTACTTGATCGTGGAAATGCAACGTGCAACTATTTTGACAATAGATTATTCCCTCTTTTCATAATGTAGCAATCATTTTTGCTAATCGAAATATATGCTTCAGTTTCATCCTTTCAACATTCCTTGATAATCTTTGTAATTTATATTTATCGGGGAGTAAAATCAAAGATGTCATTAGAAGACACTACATTCATCCATAGTGACAGGCACCAAATGATAGTGATAAACCAAATGATCTATAAATCTTTCAGCAAATTAGTGAATAATGAATATAGTGACTTGCAGCTCGACTATGGTTACACATCCATCTGGGAGCTTTGGTTGCTCCTTACTCAGCATATTAAGATTTTTATTTCCAGATCAATTTCTGAAATGTGATATACATTAAAAAATAATATGTCCCTACAGTTTATGGGGAGTAAATCTGTTCTGTTCGGCTATGGCCAGCTACAACACCAAGCTTTTTCTACATGACTGCATCAATAATTATAATAATCCAATTATAATTATACATTGGTTTTATAATCTCTGCCAGACCTTTATTTTTAGTGGTGTTATAACATATGCTTTTCATTGCAATAAAAAGTCTCATCACTTATCCATCACTGATGAAGTTAAAAGCCTTTAACACAACATCTGTAATGTAATGTAGGTTTTTTGGAATACACTCTCTGTCTAATGGCATTTGTATAAATGGTTTGGGCAAAGTATAAGAAAACATAGAAGCAACACTTTACAGTATTAAGCAAAGCAATTTCTCAAACAATACTATGAACTATAGCCTCACAAATAAATTCAGAAATGCCTTTTACACAAACATAAATATGTTCACTCATTGTTGTTATTAGCCCACATACGCATCTTACCCATGCAGTCGAGAGGTTTTCTGGCTTCACTCACTGTTTACAGATTGGCCTCTCAGCAGCTTCAGGCTCTAACTTGTGTCCCACTCATCTGCATGTCAGGATTTATGTTGTTCTTTTGCTGTTGCAGGAGAAAGGAATCCCTTTGATGGGAGAATCCTCTTTCCTGGCCTCCTGGGTTAATCGCCGTGCCATGATGATGGGTATGTGTGTGTGTTTTTAAGATTGTGTTACTGTCTGGCAGGAGGCCAGTGTTTGTCTTTTGTCGAATGCAACCAAAGGAATGTTTTTTTCTTCTCTCTCTCTCCCTCTGAACAATGTTTCTTTGACACCTTTACAATACAATGAACCAATGTGTGATGTGGTATAACATGTTAAAACATGTCTGAAAACACAGATAAATAGTATGTTTAGTAAGGTTTTTTTAGGTTTTGAAAATGTACAAATATGCAAAAGAGCTGTGTAAAGTATTGCGCACTTCAGCTGTTGCAAAGTGAATGACCTCATGACCTCATGTGCTTTTTCAAGCTCAGGTTGCACAGTTCAAGTCAAATCTACCTAAAAAAAATCAAGATTCATGAACAATATTTACCCTGAAATAAAACATATACTTTCAATTGCCATTCAAATGCATATGTGAATTCACAGTAATGTTTGTCGTCTTGTCGTCACTCAGATGAGCAGGAGGCGCTGAACTCAATCATGCAGGACTTGGCCGAACTGCACCGCTCTAGCCGTCCTGCCATGTTCCTGGCGGACCTGGGCAAACCCAAAGCCTCCTCGCCCAAGAACCAGGTAGCCTCAAAAGCACAATGTTGGGCAAAAATCTTAATATGAAATGGGTGTAATGTTGCAACAGCAAGGTAATACAGAGAAAGAGAATAGTAAAGAAACCACTAAAATGCACTGGATCTTTGTTTAGTTGATTGCCACTATTTTGTAATTGGTGATGGATTTTAATAATCACTTGATATGATATTGTATGGTTTTAAAACATGGAACACATTCATTTAAAAATCTGATCAATAGAGGCAAACAATTATCAGTGAAAGAATTAATTTGTCCCCCTGCTGTGTGTAATCCTTTGGTTCATCTCTTGACACGCTCTTTGTCTTTTGCTGAACTGTCTGTGGCAGAACGACGTCAGAGTGAAGTTCGAGTTCAAAGGGGAGAAGAGGTTAGACTTTGACGTTGTTCATCTCTTTAAAATCAGCAGTGCAGACCTGTAGCGGTGCCCTTCTGACCTCTGACCTCCTGACCTCTGACCTCCTGATCTTTTTTTCTTTGTAGGATTCTGCAGTTTCCTCGCCCTGTCAAGCTGGACGACCTGAGGTCGAAAGCTAAAGTGGCTTTCGGTCAAATGATGGACCTTCACTACACCAATAATGAGGTACAAAGCTAAAACATTTTCCTTATTGATACTGAATAAAATGTTTAAAAAAAAAAATTTCTAAAAAGATCTAAACACCAAATGTGTTTTTCTCTTTTTGCAGCTGGTGATTCCACTGACGACTCAGGATGACCTGGACAAGGCCGTGGAGCTGCTGGATCGCAGCGTTCACATGAAGAGCCTGAAGATCCTCCTGGTGCTGCAGATGTCCTCTCAGGTCAGCAGCTCTCCCATCCAAGGAATAGCCCAAGTTTTATTATTGACACAATTTGCACTTGCACCGGTGATAAGTAAAGGTTTGTTTTCGAGTTGAATGGTTTTATTCTGCTATGGTGACCATACAAGGCAGAATTTAATGACTTTCAAGGGCATTTTAAGTCTGATAACCACTATAACATGAAGCTGTATTATTCAGAATTTTTCAGTGACATTCAAATTGATTACACATTATATATTTATTTTACAGCGTCACGTTATAGTGGTGACTCGCTTTATTTTTCCCTTGTATAAAAGAACAGTACAAGTAAAGTAAATAGAGCGAGTCATTTAAAAATGTTTTTGCACTATTCCTCCCTTGTTTATTTTTAAATTGATCTGAGAAAATGTCTCGGCATGGTAAGAATTTGTGTAGTCTCCTGACTTTCCTTGCAGCGTTGTAAATTTAAAAAAAGTATAAAAAAACCAGTGCTTGTTTTCCTGTTCTATTTTGCCTTTTATACGTTAAAAGCCTTTTTTTGTGTCACTGTTTCTCCAGAACTCTTCCTCTAACATGGACCTCTTGCAGTCACATGAGGAGCTGGACAATACAGGAATCAGAGCGGCTGACAAGAAGAGTATGCTGGCGTTAATAGGTGAATGATGTCAATTTTGCTACTAGTGAGATTCACACAAGCTCTTCCAACAGATATTGATAAAGTATGCATCACAAATATTTATTTAATGTGGTTCCCTCTCTCCAACCAACCTCAGGCTCCCATTCGACAGACCGCAGCTCTCCTCCTCCAGGATACATTCCCGACGCTCTCCAGCAGGTGGCGAGAAACGGCTCCTTCACCAGCATCAACAGCGAGGGAGAGTTTATTCCTGAGAGCATGGATCAGGTACCTCCACTCAGAAATTTGAACTATGGTGTCATCACTTGGTTTCTTAAACTGAAATGTGCAGAAAAGGTTTTTAAAATCAGTATTTGTTGTTCAAAAAGAAGTAGTTGCAGTATTTACAATTTTATGGCTTGTAACTTTACAGCCCTGTATGTTCTGTGTAAGAATGATTCTTAAGTTACAGTTGACGGTTTCTTGTTCTAATCTGCTTTGTTATCTCCAGATGTTGGACCCACTGTCCATGAGCAGTCCAGAGAACTCAGCATCTGGAAGTTGTCCCTCTTTAGACAGCCCCCTGGACAGGTCTGGACCTCAGTGTTTTAATTATAGAACAATGTACTTAAGTGATCATCAGATACCAGACCTACTGTTGTTTATAAATCCTTTTTAATAATTAAGGATAAGAGTCATTTAATATTAAATATCTGGAGATACACACAACCTATATTTTCCCACATAATAAAGCCCTGAAATGCACTCAAGTCTAAAGCACACTTGAAAAAGCACTATAAATAATGAATTAAAGGTTTGCGTTTCATGTGTCATGTCTTAATGCAGCGACTACCCAAAGTCCAGGATGCCCAGAGCACAGAGCTATCCAGACAACCACCAGGACTTTCCAGGTACATGTGTGCATGGGTGTGTTTGCAGAACAGTCAAGAATAGTGCGACTGTTTTTTTAGGTTGGAGGTTAATCCCCGCACTGCTGCTGTTATCTTTCCTTTCTTCTTGATGTCCCTTCTCCTCACCGTCCCCCTCTTTTATGTCTGCAGAGTACGACATCCCAGTGTTTGAGAAATCGGGGAAAGGGGGAACATATCCTCGGCGATATGGCATCCCGTTTGGTCTTCAAGACTACAGTGATGGTGGGCAAGTTTTCTTTTTGACCCTAAAAGATATTGTTTCTTCATTTATTCGACAACATTCATAACCCCTTCCTCTGCTTGGCAGGGAGGAAGACCTTCCCCCGGGCTCGGCGAACACAGGTTCATGGCTTCCGCTCGCCTGTCAGCTTCAGTCCAACCGAGCAGTCGCCCAGCACCAGCAGCGGCAGCAGCGTCTTCACACCTGACCTGGAAGAGGTCCCGGGACCCACCAGAAGGCCACGGAGGGGCAGCGACATTGAGCCTAACCCCAATCTCTCGACTGCTCCCACCCTCTCTGTCATGGACATCAGTCCACCAAGCCGCTGTAAGTCCCCACGTTGTTTTAGGGATCTCGCCTATTTCTTTTTTCATGTGACTTAAGCATATCTGATGTTTTCCTGTAGCCCCACGTGCTCCAACCAACTGGAGGCTAGGAAAGCTCCTGGGTCAGGGTGCCTTCGGACGGGTTTTCCTCTGTTATGATGCAGATACCGGACGGGAATTGGCAGTCAAACAGGTCCAATTTGACCCGGAGAGTCCGGAGACCAGCAAGGTAAGAATCGAGAAATGCGTGTGTTGATTATTAGTTTACACTGTATACACCTGTATGTACAAAAGATGGTGGGTTTTTCTCTCTCTCGTATAGGAAGTGAGCGCGTTGGAGTGTGAAATCCAGCTACTTAAGAACTTGTGCCATGAGCGGATTGTCCAGTACTACGGATGTCTGCGAGACACGATGGAGCGAACTCTCTCCATTTTCATGGAATACATGCCTGGCGTGAGTATTCCGCATGAAGGCAGACATTTTAAAGAAAATGGGATTTTTGTGTTGCTCTTCATGTTAGTGAGAGAAAAAGTCCTTAGGATATAGCTGCATATATTTTCTTTCTGCACAAATGCATAACACAAACAAGAAAAGAACAATATTTACTGGTTTCCATTTTTATGGTTGTCAGGGCTCCATTAAGGACCAGTTGAAGTCGTACGGAGCACTGACGGAAAATGTGACCCGCCGCTACACCCGGCAGATCCTGGAAGGCGTTTCTTACCTGCACAGCAACATGATCGTCCACAGGGACATCAAAGGTGAGGTGGACTATTTTATTTGAGGTTATGTAAAAGCAGAGGATTTGTTCTGGCCACAGCAAGAAAAGCAGGCTGATATGTTCCACTTCTCTTTGTTCAGGAGCAAATATCCTTCGTGACTCTGTGGGTAACGTGAAGCTGGGAGACTTCGGGGCCAGCCGGCGGCTACAGACCATATGTCTGTCAGGAACAGGCATCAAGTCAGTGACAGGCACCCCCTACTGGATGAGCCCGGAAGTGATCAGTGGAGAGGGCTACGGCAGGAAGGCTGACATCTGGTGAGACCACACACACCTTGATGCTTAAATGAATTTCCAGGTTTATCCAAAACTGTTCTCAACAATTTGCAAAAGCCATGATTAGTATAGTAGCTTTTTGCTGAGTGAAATCATTATGGTGAATAGTTTTTTCTGTCTTCTATGTATTTTAACACTTATTTTGCCTTCAGGAGTGTTGGCTGCACCGTCGTGGAGATGCTGACCCAACGACCCCCATGGGCAGAGTTTGAGGCCATGGCAGCCATCTTTAAGATTGCCACCCAGCCGACAAACCCGGTTCTCCCTGTCCACGTGTCGGACCACTGCCGAGAGTTTCTCAAACGGATCTTTGTAGAGACCAAGCAGCGCCCGTCTGCTGATGAGCTATTGAGGCACATCTTTGTACATTAACCCAACCCCCTGAACCTTTAATCCCCCGCCCACATGCCGAACTGCCAGATACGGCCTTACCTGATGGGGTGTCCCTACCTCTGACCCCATTCCCTCCACCTCCAAGCTGAAACCACATTGGACCAGGAAGAACCGGCTGGAAGCAGGTGGGGTGCGTAGGCGGAGGGTGGTACCTACCTGATCCTCCTGTCTCTGTTTGTATGAGACTGCCATTGAGGACATGAATTTTTATTTTATTTTTCTCTGCAAGTTGCACCTTAATTTGTCAAAAGTGGAGGCTTTGAGCACTTCCTCCTGAAGAGATGAAAAACAAATATTTGAAAAAAATGTCTTCTTTTTTATGTTTTTACGGTAACTCTCTTTTGGAGTGGGATAGTGTCGGTGTTGTGGACCTACAGGAGGCGATGCCTGACGTTCGAGTGGCTCTGCTCCCCCATCTCGCTGACCTGACCCCAGAATGTAGTCTCCTGCCAAAACCTGGAGGGATGGTGATGACCTGGGCCCGCTGCTATAGACGAAACTAAACCCCTGATTGCGGAGAACACTCCCCTTAACGGTTTCCACTCACTTTCCGGTCTGATCTGCTCTCTCAGATGAAATGTTTTATCTCTGCTTTATTGTCTGCAAACTACCTTCCCTCTACCCTTCCCCGCCCCGTCTTCGTTCTTTGCCGTGTGCCTTTTCTGTTTTTAAACGCAGTGTAGGAGTGTCTTGAGTTTTTGGATAATCTCATCTGTTCTTAGTCGCTATATTTCTGGATAAATTGCCTTGGCACTGTTAGCACAAATCTAGCTGATCTCAGTTCAGCCGTAATATCTGTTTTCGCCTTTTTCTGTAACAGATTCCTGGTAATGAGACAGGATTTATTTTGCCTCCTAACCAAATACCCTTCAGACATTTTCGAAAAAAACATGCCTGATGAACTTCTAGGTTTCACAAACCAACTCGTCCTAGGATACTAGCACTTCTGCTTCAGTTGTTAAAGACAGGAACAGTATCCAGATTTTTCTCCTGAAATGTTTTCTCTTCTGCTTCTCGAAGTATTCATTGGTTGAACTCAGGGCAGAATTAGAATTTTGGACAACCTTAACATTTAATTAAATAAATCTGGGCTCTAGGAAAGTTTGTTAGGCTTATCAAGTAATCGATCATTTGAGAAAGTAACAGTCGCATTAATAAAAAGCGATTTCTGCGGGAAAAGTAAGCAGCTTAACCCAAAAGTGTGACCTTTTGGTGGAGAAAATGTAGTTTGAAATGGACCCAAGACAAGCGGTACTTTTTGTGAAATATCTGTGGTCATGCTATTACAGACCACTGAAACAAGGGGAGCATTTGTGGAGTGTTAATGTTGTGTTTCAAGGCAAATAGCTTGCAGTTGATAAGCCAGAGTTTCTGGCTGTATGACGCTGTCTCGCTGGATTTATCGCTCAAGAGAAATCAAGTGTACGACATGAAGCACGGACAATTCTCGCTGTCTCACAGGCTGCTTGACATTTCACCAACAGGTACATTTACAGTTGAAATGTCTCTTTATGCTCCACTGTTGCAATCGGTACCTTTTAGCACTCTACGGCCAAGGAGTCACTGTGCCATATCAGAGCATCCTCATTGTATTGTGTTTTGTATATTTTATTTTTTGGCCTTAAACATGCACTCCCATAGAAGAGATTCCCGCTCGAAGCGTTCCTGTGCAACAGTTAGCGCCATGCTCTTATGTTGTCGCTGAATCAACGTGTCAAAGTCTCGCTGTAGCCAAACCACAAACACTCCGTTCAACATGTGTCCTGCTCAGTTTCCCCTCGGGCTGAGCTCCTGTAAAATCTGTCTGCTTAGTTATGATGGAGCACAACTATGCACCAGTAAACCGTAAAGTCTCTGATCACACGGCGTCTGCGGGATTAAATCTGTTTTCCAGAACCAGTAACTTGTCGGCAGCTCTGTCCTGCAACTGCTCCAATGCCAGTTGCATCAAATGTCCCACCTCTTGCTCCACAATAACGTTAAAGACTCAGTTTAAGAGGATTTATTCAGCTCACATTTGTCTTCATTTGGGTATTCATGCAAAATTAGCTGGCTCTGGTTGCTGGATATTCCAGTAACTTCATTGACTTCCTTTATTCTTTTAAGACAAATGTAAGCTGGTAACATAACGAACCTCCTTAACCTCCCACGTGCACTCTGCAACTTCTTTATTTCTCCAAAATCTCTGGAGACCTAAGGACATGAATCAGTCGGACATTCCTGTCCATTTTTCATTTCCTGCTTGCATTAGGAGATGTTGTGATTTCCTGCAGTGTTACTAAAGAGCCATATTTTACTGATAACACCAGGCAGATTGGAACCTCACAGTTACTAACCAGGAAACACACTCGACCTCTCTCACAGGACTTTCCCCTGAAGGTGCTTGTACTCTTTTTGTTGCTCTGTGGTACTTTTTCTGCTGCATGACCGGCCTATTGATTTCTTTTTTTCTTTTTTTTATGTCCATAAATCTGAAACGGACTCCTCCTTCACTCATATGCATTATCAAAACGGTACCAAAACAAGCCCCAGAAAAAAGAAAACTCACTTTTCAAGAATCAGAGTTTGAGGCAGCGTACCGTTAAAACTGTCAGGTACGGGGGAAGATTTGTAAATGCCGCCAGCACTGGTTAACCTTGAGACGCACTACCATTATGCACTTATCGATTATTCACTGATGCTTTTACTCGATTCCTCGTCGGCTGTTGCTCGTGCAGCTCGGTTCAGCGACCTTTTTTTCTTTTGCACATTTTAAAGACTATTTTTTTATTTTTACACAAGTGTGAATGCGAGCGTGTGTGTCTGCGTGTCAATGGTTCAGTTTGCGTTGACTTGTACATGAATGTATTGTCTCCTCTTACCGTCAGATGGCCTCGTTCACCACAGTGAATTAACTCTTTGGTATCAGTATTTGTCACCTGCAAACACCAAGATAAACCTGTAGTTCTCTCTTTAGTGTCTAAAGCCACTGCTGCCACTCCTCTCTCTCTCTCTCTGTCTCTCTCTGTGTGTGTGTGTGTGTGTGTGTGTGTGTGTGTGTGTGTGTGTGTGTGTGTGTGTGTGTGTGTGTGTGTGTGTGTGTGTGTG